TGGTCAGTGAAAAGTTAACCCCGTACTGGTAGTCCGATACGTAGTCGTCAGTGCCCAGTTACAAATTGGCTCGTGTATTAAAAGAGATGTTTAGAGGAAAAGGCAGCTACAAGACGAGAGTAAACAGTGTGGTAGAGAAATGTCCAATTATAGTTTCCTCCGAGTGAAGTCGGATTGGCGCGGGGAGCCTCCACACGTCTCTATTTCCACTTATTCCAGTTCTAGATGGGTAATGAGCTGGCGGTGGCCCGTCGCGTGTTCTTTGTCAATGCTTCGGCGAATAGCATCGGCGTCGCATTCTGCGGTGGCTTGCCAGCTGTAGATGCCTTCATCGTATAGGCATGCTCTTCAGTAGCTATTTTTTCGTGTCATTATTTATGTCCTGCAGCTTACTACTTTTTGGCGACATCTTGGGTAAATGAACGACCGATTATGAACAGTCAGGTGCAAGATTCATAGTTCTAAAAGTTGCTGCGAGTGCTTTTGGAATCAGTATAGAATTTGAAAGAAGGACTAGGCCTGAATTGAAACTTGTTACGACTGTTGGGTCATCACTGTGTTGACTAAGCTCATACAGACTCATCATACTCTGCAAAGAAAATCTGGATCTCATCGGGTTGTCCAGGTCACCCGGAACCCACCTGTGGTTCCGTAGAGAGGGATGGTCAATGCTATCTTAAGAAAAGATACCACAAGTATCTGAAAGAGATGTCTCAGTGGCTAAGTCAAGGGCTTGGTAGGGACCCGAGATAATTTTCGACCAATTTCCAAATGTACTGAAGACTAATGTCGCTTATGAATCCTCACGTAGGTAATTTCAAATTATCGAATATTCTACTTGATGATGTGCCTCAGGAGATCAGCAATTGGAATTGTTGCGTGAATGTCGGTCACAGCAGTCTGACCAAGCAGATTAGGGTGTAAGACAGGGTGGTGAGAGAGGGAGACTCCAGGAAAGTTGCCGGACTCAACCTCGATAGCGTAGCTTCGCGTCAGAAATAGCCGACCTGGCTGAAGTCTCACACTACACTGCAGCACGATAAACTTTCTTGATATTATAAAGCGCAACTGTGTCCGGATGACACACGTCCAAAATATTGTCACTTGAGATACAGAGTAGATGACATCTCTTTGTCAGCACAGTGTACTTAAAGGTAAGCCGCCTTGGCCAGATCAGTATGTCCGCGACATTCGGCTTCAGTAAAATTATGTTCCATAAGGGCCTTGCATAAAAGGTCAATTTGTGTAACGGAGCACGCTCTTACCAGATAACTGGTAAGACCTTGTGTTAATCTAACACAAGGATGCGTACTCCTGACGTCACGTACATGTGGCGTGAGGAAGCGCGAGGAAATAAACAGAACCCGGTGGCTCTGTATAAGGGAAAAGAAGAGCTGATGATTAATATAATTGAAGTATTTTGATAAACCACCTTTGTCTAACTATATTAAACTACAATCCTTTATGTGCGCATCTTGCTCGCCACCCATTACGCGAGTCTAGCAGCGATTGGTGGTTAATCTGGTAGATGTACCGTGTACATCAACCTTCAAGTGGAGCACCCAAGAATGCTACCCTCGGGGGTACCATTCCGCTGACATCACCTGTTCTTAAGTCATGTTGAATAAATTTTATTTGATTCGATAACATTCAAAAAATTGATACAATTGTACCAAGTTTATTGATACGGGCTCACCCCGTTACATGAAATTGTTTAATCTCGTATGGAACTCGTAATGGAGCTCTCGATGGAGCTTGCGATGGAAATTCTTTATTGTTTAGAAAGAAACAAGGGGTCGGAAAGAGAGTAAATATCAAAAGCAGCACCACCAATGCATAAATGTCCCAAAAATAGTTATATACTCAGCTCAAGTATAAATACACACCAGATAGTGTCAAACCGCATTATACTCAACTGCAACATGAATTAAGAAACTGCTTGATTGCTAGGGAGAGCGAGACGGTAGTAAGTGAAACAGGCCATGGCAGCAAGTGCGGCAGCAAGTAAGTTGAAATACATATGATTGACCCTTTCGTGCTCAATGCTAAAATTCCATATAGCTACCAGCTCGTACCGTGCCTCTTTTGAATCTTCATGTACGAAGCTGTAGAAGCCTCAAATTCCGTGTCCGACCTCTCTTCCCCTTTTGGACCAGCAAGGATCGTTCGGTGTCAACGATTGGGGTAACATCGTTGGTTAGGGCGGCACACCTAGGCTCGGCGGTCTACTGACCCAGAGCCTATTACGGGCTTCGATGCTGAAAAGCGCGGAGTTGTCAAGAACGTGTGGGGTCCTATGGGTATACCCACGCCCGACAAGGGGTGGTTTCCTGGGGTAGTGATGCAGTAGGCAATCTTCAAGATGATGACTGCCGGTTCAATCCCCTCAAGGTGCACAATAATTCCTGAGGGTGACATTCGTAGTATGATTCCTACAGTACTTGAAAAACCTGTCACTACCTCTTATAACCATGGTTGGGATATACCGGATATAGTGGGTTATTCGCGTACCCGAATATACATCACCAAACCAACCAATACCCACGCCCGACAACCTCGCACTTGGTCCAACTGGAGCTGACATACCTGTGGTCACTGGCCTGCCCTATCCGTATATCCGAGGTAATTAGGTCATCTACGGGTATAAGATAAGTACGATACGCATCCACCTATTGCCGCTATTGGCGGCCAGGGACCGTACCCTTCCCAGTATTCCGAACATCCAACCGCAGCAAGAGCACGCTAGCCCGAGCAACTACGAGAACTACGATCCCATAAGTGATGATGATGCGAATAACACCGTCGACGAGCGGCAGATGCTTGCTTCGGCTACCTTTGGCGTCATTCCCGGTGCACCGGCCCCAATGCCTGGGGCTCGACGTGTCGGGGCGAACGCACGCTCCACGATTACTGCTACTTGTCAAACAAGTCGTACTTCCACGCGTCGTACATCGAGCCGGAGCCACCACCACCAGCAGATTCCATGGATCAAGCGCCGCATTTGCAACAAAATCGCGCGAAGGTCAAAAGGGATCTACCCAATGTCTCATTCGGCGCGCCCGCAGCTCCACAAGACCCAGTTGCGTTCCAGTAGCCACTGCCGCCACTAGAGCGTTACCAGCCGCAGATAACGGCACCGCAACAGGAGCAGCAGTTGATGATGTACGCAAACCCGTTTGGAATGGGCCCACCGCTTCCACTCGCGCGTGTTCCCGAAGGCATCTCGCCACCCACCTCAATCAATCCTTCAACAGTATGATGCCAACCTTATTCAAGGCTGCAAAACAAGACGATTTAACAGAGACAAGATGGTAGCTGGTAGCTATTTAGTAAGTAAACACCGGGTGTAAAAGGTCCAAAAATGTATATTTTTCTTTACTTGTTGCCTCCCTTCCTGAACTTCCTGACATTGTCTGAGTTACTTGCTGCCGCCTCGCCTATCCCTAGCAATCAAGCAGTTTCTCATTCCATGTTGCAGTTAAGTATAATGTGGTTGACACTATTTAATGTGTTTTTTATACTTGAGTTGAGTATAGTACTGGTTTTGGGACTTTTGTACATTTGTGGTACTGACTTTGAGGTTTGCTCTCGGAAAAAAACCCTACAATTGTACTTAACGAGCGGTGCCCTATACCTTACGACGGAGCCAAATTATGACCGTCTCAGATGGCCTAAATATATGCACTGCCGCAAAGCACATGCGCACTTGCACAGCGACCACATCACCTTGAGCAATGTCAACCGTGCATATACATTGATTGGCGTGAGTTCGTGCTCGTCATTCCGTATATTACGATTACGTGCAATAGCGCGACGCCTACCTATGCATCACTGTAGCGCTAGAGTGCGCTATCATGTCCGTCGCTTGATAGACACAAGTTAATGTTGCAGTGGTGTTTATTTGATGCGAGCAACCATTTTCGATGATGCGGTCGTGACTTCGTCAACACTTTTGTCAAGCTACACGTTCGGTAAGCGAGTTTTCTATAGCACGTTGGATCGCACAGATATACATCTTATGTACGGTCATTTGTATATGCTAGTAAGCAGTCGAGCAGCTCATCAAAAGCAGGTACGATGTCTATGCTGTTGTGTTTCGACGTCCAGTCTGCATAAAGAACCGAACAAAAGTCTTTGGTACATATTGCAGAAACAAACGACGCATCGCAGCAAGATCAACTCCTTGATGAAAGATGCTAAGGGAATGACTCATGCACAAATGACAAAGTTACCTACATGAAGCCTCTGTTTATGTAGACAGACTGATTATCATGCCTGCAAATTACACCTTTGGGTGCTACTTGGCAGCATATCGTCGATCGATCAACTCCCCCCGGACCACGGATGCGTCAATCGGTTTACATACGCCATCGCGCAACCGCGATCTAGGTGCTGTGCATCGGTGAAGCAGTGTGATTGATTGAGCCAGGCGCATGGCAATGAAAGTTCAACAGGAAGGGCTACAGTCGTCAATTCCGACCTGTCTCATGGCTTGAAAGATGTGCTGCAGTAGACGCCACAACAGAGGTGAGATATAGACTCTGTGGTGGCGTCTACTGCAGCGACAATGCGAGCTCGAGCTCGTTATTACACCGTCGACCAGCACGGTACGGTTGATATATGTCAGGTGAGGTTAACGAGCATACTCGTTGATGAATGCTAGAACGGCTGTCGATCCAGAAACCGTGACGCATGGTACGCACCCGCAATGAATATGATGCACCTCCTGAGCACACATGCATGCGCAACTTACCGGGAAGGGAACGGACCGCGAGAAATTTGGAGCCAGCCAACCACAAGTCACGAGATCGAGTTTGTGACTACTACTGATCTGTGCAAATCGTTGATGAATCAGTAGCTGCAGCAATTCAATCAGGTGACCAGATCTTACGCCAGTTCTTCATGCCGACTTGCGCACGCAGGAGGCGCACGAGGCGACGCATTTGGTAACATTCCTGCTCCCTCATCCATCGAGCTCAACTGCTCCCCTGAGCTCAGACATGACCTTCGCTCAAGATCTGAAGGAACTGCTCATCTGTCTCACGTTGGTGGCAAGCGTGAGTTATGTCACGGACTTGCAACTGTATGGAGGGGTCTGCGTAGCCATCCAATGGCTCTCTGCACTATACGGCGTCCCCAATCAGACCGAGCGGTACTTTGACCTTACGGGCTCCACTACCTATGCGACGGTCTCCATGCTCGCGTACCAGCTGAAAGAGTCACCCTCATGGCGCGATACGTTGCTCACAGCCTTCGTGTGGCTCTGGTGTGTGCGCCTAGGAGCTTTTCTGTACCTGCGCATCTGTGAGTGCGGTAGTGACAAGCGGTTCGCCGAGATCATTGTGGATCCTCTGTGTTTTCTGGCAGCCTGGAATATTCAGGGTCTCTGGGTCTTTTTCACACTTCTTTCAGTGCTGCTTAGTGTCACACATGGAGTTGGTGTTCCAGAGGTTACGCCGCTCGACATCGTTGGCACTACGATGTGGGTTGTCGGCTACCTTATCGAAGTGACAGCTGACTACCAAAAGACCCAGTTCCGCCTCCACAAGGGCAACGAAGGTCATTTCATTTCGAACGGACTCTGGGGCTACAGTCGTCATCCGAACTACTTTGGTGAGATCATGATGTGGATCGGCGTCTTCTTGGTGGCCGTGCACACACTTCCGAGCTTTGCGCTGCAGTGTGGTGCTGCGGTAAGTCCGATGTTCATGACATTGCTCATCATCTTTCGCTCGGGCATTCCACTTCTTGAACAAGCTGCGGACAAGCGCTGGGGACATTTGAAAGCTTACCAAGAGTACAAGACGCAGACGAGCGTGTTGATTCCGATGCCGAGACGCAAATCGGCCGCACTGAAGCAGGCAAAGTTCGCGTAAGGGTCACATGTTTGCACGATTTGTAGCGACACAAGATACAGTGGGGGACCGGCTTCTTCTTTTGTCGTGGCATTTCGCTCTCATATTGTTGGCTGCGGCACCCGCTTGACGTCGATTACCGATACTTGGCAACGAAAAAACACCGATTGAGTGTGCATGCGATAGTCGATTTTGACAGGGAGTACCTGTGTTAAAACTGGCACTTGCTAAATCGATCACACCTTTTACTTGATCTGCCACATTATTGCACTTTAAGCACTTGGACAGTTCTTCTGATCGGATGCATTAGATGGAACACGTGATTGCTTAGCTACGATAGTTCTTTGCGTCGCGTCCCAGCACATACTTTCGACACATTCTACATCTTGCCATCTGGCCTTGCTTTTACCATATCTCTCTGCATGTGGAGACTGAATATGTGGATTCACCACTCACTGCGCGTGTCTGTTATACATTGAACGACCTGTTGGCTGTTGTCACAACACAAATCTGCTAATAAGCGGATGCCCGTTAGCTTCATCGAACACTAAACTGTGGAGGGCAAGATTCGAACTACGTCATCGTCTACGGTACGTCAAACTCTGGAAAAGCTGCATCTCCACGTAACGTAAATTCACTGAGTCCATGCTGGAGACAGCGCGGATGACGATGTCATGATGTGTATCGATCGGAATATGTAACGGGGTTACACGTCGGCTGGTAGCCGACGATAGGTGTGGTGCACACACGAGAGGGGGGTATCCTATAAGATAATATTAGAACACAGTGAGCGTATCAATTGTTGAAGACTGGTGTCTGTCATCAATTGATTGCAAGATCTTTTAAGAGGTTATTTAGGGCAGGTTAAATACGTTGTTCTAAGGTGTTCTTTTAGGTTAAATGAAGAAATAAAATTCAGTTCCCATTTTGATCAACATAAGACACGTGCCTTACGAGGCGTCTTTGATCGGGAGGACAGAAGCAACGCCTGTAAAGGTAGCTTGTCCTCGAGCACTCTGTGCTGTGATTCATTTGAATCGTTTGGTCCCTCTGGAACGGGGACCGTAAGCTCTCTGAGCTGTTGACTCTCTGAGTCGGGTTCTCTGAACCACCCTTCGAGCTCTCTGAGCTGTTGACTCTATGAGTCGGGTTCTTTGAACCAAAGTTGCTCATTGAGCGTAAAGTCTTCCTCTGACTTAAGGAGCTGTGTAGCTCCGCTACACTTGGTAGCACTTGTAGTCAATCTACACCTGAGTCGGTAACGACTGATCCTCTGCGAGGATGGAGCAATCCACACCCCTCTCTGAGGCTCAAAAGGTCGCGCTTGATAAGCTGACCGCGGCCGTAGGCCTAGAGTATGTGGAGTTTCTAGCTGCACAGGGTCCCGATGTGCTCAATGCACGAGTCGAGGCCTTTATGCAGTATGAAACGGCCCTGTTGGGCTAGGTTCAAAACCAAGTAGCGTCGGCTATGCCGACACGCTACGTGGCTATGCCACCAGAAGAGGCTAAGCCTCTTCCCCTTCGGGTGGACGTTAAACTTTACTCCGGGAAGGAGGGGAAAAACTTGACCCTCTGGATCCGTGAGATTGAGATGGCCATGGACTCTGGTCTCATCTCACTAGAGAACCAGCGGGTCTCTTTGGCCATCTCTAAGCTCGATGGTAGAGCTAGAGAGTGGGCTTTGACGTGTGGCACGTCGGTCAATTTGGCATTTCCCACGTGGGAATCGCTCAAGTTAGACCTCATGCGAGTTTTCTCGCCGCCTAACCAGGCATATCGCGTGCGATCACGCTTCTTATCAACCCGTCAGGGTAAGAGCGAGTTAACGGACTATGTCCAAGAGTTGAGAACTCTAATGGCTGCTATGCAGTCTGACCCTCTCCCTGAGACTGTCTACGTGACAGTCTTCATGGAAGGTCTCCGCACTGGCGTGGCCAGAACCGAGGTTTTTCGGGTTCATCCCTCTACTTTTGAGGAAGCTGTGATCGTCGCTCAAAATGCTGAGCACAACTTCAAGTCGGCCAGACTTGGTTGGAATGGGTGCAACCCAAGCTTTGCGAGGGCGGCCTCTGCGAGGACTTCGGCTTACTGTAAGCCAGAACCGATGGATCTCAGCCATGCTGAAGATGAAGGCGAAGCGGAGCTTCATGTTGCGGAGCAACGACAGGATGTGAGACGCTGTTACATGTGCGGAAGCACTAAACACTTGCGTCCCACTTGTCCTTTGCGTAAGCAACAACCGACTCCTATGAGTCGAAACCCCAGCCTCAACCAGAAACCTGGTATGGCACGGGGAAACGTCGACACCCAGTAGGCGCGGGGCGCCCTACTGGGGTAGAACTAAGTTCTGTCACATCTCTACGAGATAAAGTGAAACAGGGCTTAGCCCCACTTAGCGCTGTGACAGCCAGCACAGAGCGTGGATACAAGCCTGGCTTGTTAGTCGCCGAGGCGACAGTAAAAGGCTTTGAGAAGCCGTGGTCGATTTTAATCGATTCAGGAGCATCATGTAACTATGCTCGACGTCGTTCCCTTGAGGGAAGTCAGCGATACGCTGAAGCGCTCAAAGCGCACGAAGGTGATTCGATCACCGTTCGTTTAGCGACTGGTAGTCGCGTCACGGTGCCTAAAGTTCCGTTGAACTTAGGTGTGAAGTTTTTGGACTTTGACAGCATTGAACGTTGTCTCGTTCTCGATTTGGATTCGAGATATGATCTCATCCTGGGTATGGCTTGGCTTGAACGCCGTGAGCCATGGATTGATTGGAGGACTAAGACCTTAGGCGCCACGCGCAATGTTCCTAGCGAAGCTTTGGAGAGTCATGAACCCACCTTTGCTAGGCAACAAAAGCGCTATTGGCGCGAGACATTGACGGAAGATGTCAATGTGCTGGACATTGGTATGTCAGAGTTATTTAACTCGAATGTCGATGACATAAATATTGAGCGGAGCTCTTCTAACGCGTTTGGAGAGAGTTATACTCCGTTGAGTGATACTCGTTGTGATACTGAGTCACTGCATGCGTCAAGCATGGTTGGCCTAGGGCCGAAACATCAAGAATTTAATTCCTCTGATGTAAGTGCGGTGGCACGTGAAAATACACAGAGTGAGGACGGCCGAGGTGGCACCTCACTGAATGTCGGTAATGACATTGATGGCGAGAAGCCAGAGTGTTCAGGGCTAGGCCCTAATGCTATAAGTGCGGTGGCACGTGAAATTACACAGAGTGAGGGCGTCCGAGGTGGCACCTCACTGAATGTCGGTAATGACATTGTTGGCGAGAAGCCAGAGTGTTTAGGGCTAGGCCCGAATAATGTACGTGAAGTGGTACGTGTAAATCCACTGGGTGAATTGTTCGAGTTACGTAACACTTCACCAGATGTCGCTCAAGACATGAGCTCTCGTATAGAGCGTGCTAAGATGAATAGCAACCATGGGGACTTTGCTGTCCCGGCCTCTAAGAGGCGTAAGGTTTCTTTGAGGAAACAATCGAAGCGTAGGGTGGTGACTGTTAAGCGACCAACGTTTAAGAAGTCACGAAGTGATAATAGTAATAATACACTGTATACACTTGTCAATGGATTGACTGGCCATATCGATGGCAATATTAGTCTTGAGACTCTTCCATCCGTGGATAAAATCTTTGAGCTAGACGAGATGTCTGACGGCGAATTTAGCCAAGCCTTGCAGGCAGGAGAATTCTCCGAGTTAGTGGTCATTCGGCCTGATATTGAGTTGAACTCATCCTCGTTATTGGACGAGTCTGTCCTTGAGGACACAAAGGCGGCATTGGATGCCCGTAGTGGATCCTCGATTCTTAAGGATCCTCTTGATCCGTTTTATCCTTTGGTAAAGGAATTTCAAGACGTGGTGTGTCACGACCCACCGTCTGTATTACCTCCTCATAGAAGTGTGCGTCATGAAATTGACTTGGTTCCTGGAACTAAATACTGCGTAACACGGCAGTGGCCTTTGCCCAAGGAACAGTGTGACGTCATAGACGACTTCTTTCGTGCAAAGCACGCGGCGGGGATGGTTCGTGAGAGCAAATCTCCCCATTCCACACCGACCTTCTGTGTCAAAAATCCCAACGGGAAGTGGCGCATTGTTCATGCTTACAATAAGCTTAATGTGGCCACCATCTCGGCTCAGACACCAATTCCGAGGAAGGATGTTCTTCAGAACAATATGGTGGGATGTACAATGTACAGTGCGCTCGACTTAGTCGATGGTTATTACCAGCTTCTCATGCGAGAAAGCGATATTCCGCTGACAGCGGTCAGCACTCCAAGCGGTATGCTCTGGGAGTGGCTCGTTATGCCGCAAGGGCTATCAAATGCTCCGGCTACTTTCAACCGTCTTGTGACACAATTGGTTAGACCTCACAGAGGTTATGCACAGACGTACTTTGATGACATCTTTGTCCATAGTCGTGCTATGAACGGTCGGTCAGATGTGGATAATCACATTGATCATTTACGAGCGGTGCTCGAATGCATGCGCACGAATAAGTTGTATGTCAACGCGTCTAAGTGCATTTTTGGTGCAGAAGAGATTACCTTTTTAGGGTGCTTTATTGGTAAGCAAGGCCTTAGAGCGGATCCCGCCAAGTTAAAAGCCATAGTTGATTGGCCGGTTCCAAAGAACCAAAAGGACTTACGTAAGTGGCTTGGCCTCGACAATTACTTACACAAGTACAGTGCTAATTACGCAGACATGGCTCGGCCATTGATTAATCTCCTTAAAAAGGATGTAGAATGGTGCTGGACTAGCACTGAGCATGATGCTTTTCAAGCAGTCAAGGAGAGTCTCCTACATGCGCCCATATTGGCTTTGCCTGATCCTGAGCGATCTTTCAGTGTCGTCTGTGACGCATCTGACTTTGCCATAGGCAGCGCTCTGTTACAAACAGATGATGATGGGCGGGAACGAGTTATTGCGTTTGAGTCCCGACAGCTAAAAGCTGCGGAGAAGAACTATCCTGTTCATGACAAAGAGCTACTTGCAATGAAGTATGCT